TTCTTGAAACTACACAGGTCATCAAGGGTATGCATATCCGAAAACCACCAAGCATCTGAAGGATGTCACCTTATAGGAGCAATGTGTGCCATTCTGTCATTACAGTGGTGGAGTTGGTAGGCATGCTCAAGCCAAAGAGAGGGGCTGGGTGCAGGATTGGGTGCAGGTTGGTGACCCCAAAGAGTGCTGAATTTTTGCTGCTGTTAACATAAAAAAACCATTGTAAAGAATTTTTGTGAGTTTATTTGAGCCAAACTGTCGACATGCTGGGAAGCAGAACCTCTAGGAATTGAGGTAATGCTCCAAAGAATGGCGGGTTACATCTGTATTTATACATTGCAATCAAAGGAAAGGGATGTAGGTGGATTACATGAAATCCACTGGTGATAGATTAAGGAGGTGGGATAAAGCAAAGCAGGAAAACCTCTCGGATAGGAGAAAAGTGAAATGATGGACATGTGCTGCTTTTACATAGATGGATACAGGACAATTCAACATAATTAACAGTTGACGATTAACTTGATAACATAACAATGAGGGAATGTCTTGGTGCTATTTGTTGCACCCTGAAGGGTCCAGAAAAAAGAGGAATTTACAAGTTACCCAGACATTTCACAGATATGTTATCTTAGAGGCAAGAAGACAAATGGGCTCAGTAAAGATCTAAGTTGATCTTTGTCAGGGAAAACATTGGCCTGGGACATGAGAACCCACTATAACCTGTGTGTAGTTAAATATTTAATTTTCAGACCATCTTTTGTGGTTATTTTAGGTCTCTGAGTCTGCAAGACTGCCATGCAGGCCTCCCCTGAGCTTGTGACCCCTGTTGTCCACACTACACATGCTTAAAAATGCAGTAAGCAACACACTGAAAATTCTGTCTATATCCCATGCGAAGCTACATACATAGGTCTCCCAGAGACATTGCAGGGCCATTTTAAACTGTCACAGAGAATTGGAAGCCCAGCATGCAAGTTATCATTTTCAAGGTCCTAGGTGTGTGGTGATTTTGCTCAGGAATATAGATCCAAGTACCCAATTAGTCCGAATAAGACCAGAACTGTATGTGTGAGAGACATGGAGAATGGCATGAATCACTAACTGTTGGTATGTATTTTCCTCCAAGCAGCCTTTTCTCCGGATTCACATCTTCGTCTGACATTGATATAGAGGTAAATTTGAGGAGGACAAAGTACTGTGGCGGGACAAAGCAGGGGAAACGTAGAGTTCATGTCTCCCCATCTGTTTTCTAGCAACGTGGATATTGGAGCAGGCGGTCGTTTTCACTCAAGCATAGATTTGGCAGGAAGAAAAGCCAGAAGGGGGAGCAGAAGGCACAGGAGCAGGAACCGTTCTTGAAAATGTAAATGATTGGGAACACTTAGAATTCTTATCTAAAACGAGGAATAATGAATAGTTTAATTGTATCTTTCAAGAGTCAAAGCCTTGACCTTTGTCTTCTTCTTACTCCAGGGAGCGGAGTAAATCTGCTGATTCCTTAAGGAGGATGGACACGTCCGAGTCTGCTTCTGACACAGGTGGGGAAACCAGCGCCTGATACCTTCACAGAGCAAGGCCATCTTCTGCCTAATTAAACATGTATTGCAAATGTGTCAGTTCATAGCTACCTCTAGCCTTGATGTAAGGAATGAAAGTGTAAATAGTCAAGTATTTATATGCAAATAAGAAGGGCCATAGGCAAGAAAAGCAGGGCTGAAGCTGGAATCCCTGGAGAAGCCAGTACTTCCTCAAGCAGCAGTGTGGTCCAACCAGGTGAAGAGGTCTTCTCTCCCTTGTTTCCCCAATACACTCAGTCCCTGAGAACTGGCAGACACCTTCTCTCCCAGGGATATAGGGCAGTGGTGGGCAACCCCTGGCTCGCGTTGCAAACATGGCACGCCAGTAACTTTTGCTGGCACGTGAAACCCTCTCTTATAATCTTCCTGTTAGGTTAGGTGGCTCAGGAGGCGGCGTAAGAAATAAAGAGTCGAGTGAATCAGAAAAGAAAAGAAAAGGAAAGGTTTATTTCTGCGTCCCTGGGAGACCCACGTACTCCAAAGACAGGGCATGTGGATTCATGCCAACAAGGAGGGGGGTGCTTTTTTTATATTTATACTGTGGTTGGTTGAGGGCAGGGACCTGAGCTGAGGTATTTAGCTGAGGAAGTTTCAAGCTGCAGGGGGTCCGCAAGGAATTCAGGAAGGAGTCAGTATCTGTGTGGGGGTGGTCAGGGAGAAGCCAGTATCTGTGTCTGGCACGCTGATCTGTGAGAAATTCCAGGGGAAGTCCATTGTCTCATCACATGCCTGCATGTATCTGATCCTGGGCTCTCTCTGACCTAACACTTCCATTTACAATTTTTTTCTTAATATCGACTTTTTTATTTTTCAGATAAATTCAGTGTAGGTGCATCTTAGTTAAATAAATAATTTTACATAACAAGTTATCTAAAAGACCATAGACATGGATTGACGAGAGAGGGGAAGAGCAATTTCAATAGTGTCGAAAACGATTTATTGAGGACTTGGAATGCCATTGCAGAAAATTATTTTCTGTTTAAAAAACTGCAACAGCGTTACTCTCCATGTTTTCATCCACATGCACTTGTGAATCTTTGTTCTCAGTGATGAATTTTGTTAAGTCACATAATAGGAGTAGCCTGATGGATGAAAGTAGTAGCTTGTGCATATTTCTGAAGGTCACGAAATATAAACCTGATGTAAAATCTCTGTCATCAATGATGCAGCAGCAAAAGTCCCACTGAAAATATCAAACGGAGTCATAAAGTTTTCTGTCGGACTATCAGTGTACATGTATACATTAAAAAATAAATGTATTTTTCATCATCATATACTGTGTTTTTGTCGCTCGAATGAATTTTATGATTTCTTCAAGGTTCTTCAAATACGTACACCTTAAGAGATATCAAGTGAAAGGGCGAGGGCTATGCCCTCCCCTCCATCTTGCCTGTATCCTCCATGTTGGGGCCACGTGTAGCCTTCTTCCCGGAAGCCCAGGCCTCTGCTGGCCACGCCCGGGATTTTAAACTAACCAATGACAATCAAGGGAAATGCGCGCCATAGATATGACCACATCCTGTGTAACAAGACCCGGCTCACGCCTAGCCAATCGGCAGGGCCCACAATCCCCTTGAGCCACCCCCCTATTAAAGCCAGTTTTTCCCATGGGAGGGGACTCTGTTCTTGTCGCCGGGGCCGGCCGGGAGCAGGGTTGGGCCGGCCGGGAGCAGAGTCGGTTTAGCTAGACCAAAATAAAAGGACCTTCTGCTTTTGCATCGAACTGGCTCCCAGAGTTGCTTTTTGGGGATCTTGGAATCCGGGCATAACATTTGGGGGCTCGTCCGGGATCCTCAAACCCCATTTAGGGACTCCCAGCTCGGAGGACTTGGCTGACCGCGGTATGTGACGTTTATGTTTGTATTTGTTTGTTTCTGTGTGAGCTCACTTCTGAAATCTGTATTCGCCCACATTGGTCGTGGACACACGAGGACCAAGGGTGGGAGGAGTCGGGGGACGCCCCGGCCCTCCATCTGAAGAGAAGTAGCTTTGCTTCCGAGGTCGGAAGATCTGTAGGCGGGTAGCTGCCGCTAGCTGTAGAAGTAGCTTTGCTTCCGAGGTCGGAAGATCTGTAGGCGGGTAGCTGCCGCTGGCTGTAGAAGTAGCCTTGCTTCGTTTTCGGTTTTTACCTCCATGGAGTTGGAAGATTATTTTGGTTTCGCTTCCAGGCAGTTGGAATACTGTATTTTAGGGCCCCTTAGTTGTCTGTGTTTGTGTTTTTTTGGTTTTATTTTGTGGATTTACTGGATAGACATTATGGGACAGACTCAAACTACTCCTTTAAGCATTATGGTCTATCATTTTAAAGAGGTAGAGGAAAGAGCCAGCAACCTCAGTGCGGAGGTTCGGAAGGACCGGTGGCGGGCCTTTTGTTCCAGGGAGTGGCCGACTTTTAATGTCGGGTGGCCGCCGGAGGGGACTTTCGATCTCCCCACCATCCGCCGGGTTAGGGACATCGTCTCCCAGCCCAAAGAGGGACATCCTGGTCAACTCTCTTACATTGTTACTTGGCAGGACCTCGTGGAAGATCCACCATCTTGGCTTAGGCCCTTCCTACCTCCACACCCTCCGGAGCCAGAACCCATTTTTGCCTTGCAGGAAGCGGAGAAGAGGAAGGAGAAAAAAACCACCCTGCCGTCAGCTCCAGCTCCCCCCTACCCGGTTTTGCAGGGGGGAACTGGAGAAGAGTTAATTTTTCCTCCCCCATATCATTTCCACAGGATGCCGGAGAGATTTGATCCTGCCCTGTGGCGGGAAGCTGACGCAGTTCCGGGAGTGCCTGGGGGCGGAGTTCCGGGAGTGCCTGGGGGCGCAGTTCTGGGAGTGCCTGGAGGCGGAGTTCCGGGAGTGCCTGGGGACGCAGTTCCGGGAGTGCCTGGGGGCGGGGTTCCGGGAGTGGCCTCGGTTCCGGTTCCGGTAGGAGGCCCGCCTCTCACCCGGCAAAGAGCTCAGCGGGAACTGTCTGTCGCAGCCCCCGACTCCACTATTAAGACCTTGCCCTTACGGGCCGCTGGACCCCCGGATGCGAATGGCAACCAGCCCCATATCTATTGGCCTTTCTCAACTAGCGATTTGTATAACTGGAAGGCACAGAACCCTAAGTTCTCTGAAAAGCCGGGGAGACTTATTGACTTGCTAGATTCTGTTCTTTTCACCCATCAGCCCACATGGGACGACTGTCAGCAGCTTTTACAGGTTCTGTTCACAACGGAAGAGAGAGAAAGGATCCTCAATGAGGCCCGGAAGATGGTTCCTGGTGTGGACGGAAATCCAACCACAAACCAGGCCCAGATAGATGCCTCTTTCCCTTTAACTAGGCCTGAATGGGATTTCAACACGGCAGAAGGTAAGGAGAGGCTCTCGGTCTACCGTCAGACTCTAATGGGGGGTCTCCGTAGGGCTGCTAGGAAGCCCACCAATTTGACCAAGGTAGGGAACGTACAGCAGGGAAGAGATGAGTCTCCAGCTGCCTTTCTAGAACGGATCATGGAGGCATATCGCACCTACACCCCCATGGATCCAGAAGCCCCTGAGAATAAGGCAGCTGTAATCATGAGTTTTATAAACCAGTCAGCCATGGACATTAGAAAAAAACTGCAGAGAATAGATTAGGAGAAAAAAGTTTACAGGATTTACTGGCAGTGGCAGAGAAGGTGTTCAATAACCGAGAGTCCCCTGAGGATAGACGAGCCCGCGCCATGGTGGCTGCCAGTGACAAGCAGACCCGAAACCTGGCCAAGATTCTGCTAGCCACCACCACGGAGTCCCCTGAGGAGCGGACCCGCCGCCTTCGCCAGCTTGCTGATGGCCAAGAAAGAGGTAAGGAAACTGCCCGGAGTGGGAAGAAAAAACTGCAACAGAACCAGTGTGCTTACTGCAAAGAGATAGGGCACTGGGTCCGAGAATGCCCAAAGAAGGCCGGTAAAAGGGGAAGCAAGACGGACCGGGTGGAGGTCTTGGAGCTGGAAGGACTGAGTGATTAGGGGAGTCGGGGTTCGGACCCCCTCCCCGAGCCCAGGGTAACTCTTAGAGTGGAGGGGACCCCTGTTGACTTCCTTGTCGACACTGGAGCACAACATTCGGTTCTCCGCACACCTCAGGGGAAGCTTGCTAATAAAAAGTCCTGGGTGCAAGGGGCAACTGGCATGAGCCAGTATCCATGGACTACCCGAAGAACAGTAGATCTAGGAACGGGCCGGGTATCCCATTCCTTCATGGTAATACCGGAGTGCCCACCCCCTTTTAGGACGGGACTTGCTAACCAAGATTGGAGCCCAAATAACCTTCAGACAAGGGGGGCCTCAGGTTACCGATAGCGAAGGCCACCCCATCCAGGTTCTGACTCTGAGACTGGAGGATGAATATCGCCTACACCAAGGGGCACCCCCAGTAGAGAACAATATAAATAGATGGCTGCAAGAATTCCCCACAGCCTGGGCAGAGACGGGGGGAGTAGGACTGGCCGCCCACAGGGCCCCAACCCTGGTTGAGCTAAAACCAGGAGAAAGCCCAATAAGAGTAAAACAGTACCCTATGTCCCAGGAGGCTCGGAAGGGAATCCAGCCTCACATCCGGAGACTGCGAAGCCTAGGGGTACTGGTTCCATGCCAATCTGCCTGGAACACCCCCCTCCTGCCGGTCAGAAAGCCCCACACGAATGATTATCGACCAGTCCAGGACCTCAGGGAAGTAAATAAAAGGGTCCTGGATATACACCCAACCGTTCCCAACCCATACACTCTCCTAAGCTCTCTGGCACCCTCTAGAGTCTGGTATACCGTACTAGACTTGAAGGATGCCTTTTTCAGCCTGCCGCTAGCGCCTCAAAGCCAACCCCTGTTTGCCTTCGAGTGGCACGACCCAGAGGAAGGCTACAGTGGACAATTAACCTGGACGCGATTGCCCCAAGGATTCAAGAATTCACCCACCATCTTCGACGAGGCGCTGCATGAAGACCTTGGTGAGTACAGGAGAGAGCACCCCAATCTCACTCTCCTTCAGTACGTAGATGACATCCTGATTGCTGCCGATACCGCCAA